GACAGTGAGAACAGAGCTTTTAACCCTGAGTGGACTCATTCATGTTCATCCTGCCCACTGGGAGCACAGAACCAGTGTGTCTCATTTGTTCAGAGACCGTGGCGCTCATTAAAAGTGAAACGCCACTATGACCAAACATTCCCTCTCAAGTCAGAACTGAGGTCAAATAAGCAGTCTCAGAGCCCAATATGATCAGTCCACCAGGATCACAATTAAACCTACATATCGTTCCAGGGCAGGCTAACCGAGGCTAACCAATGAGCACCTGCATGTGTGTATGAGAATGGCCCTGACTCAATTTCAGCCCAGATCTAAACTCCTGGCAGGACAAGCTCAAGCTCAATTCTCGCACTGAACAAAAAAATGTGAGTGAGGGACTGCAATATAAGAGGGACAGAAAGAGAAACTTTAAAACTGTTCAATTGTTATGATGTGACTGATAACACATCAGCTATCCGACGCGCGGGGGAAACATACTGGACCATGTTTATTCCCCTTTTCGACATGGATATAAGGCTCTCCCTCGCCCTCCCTTCGGCAAATCAGACCACATCTCACTGCTGCTGCTGCTGCCTGCTTACAAGCAGAAACTTAAAAGGGACAGACCGGTAACAAGGACAGTACAGCGATGGAGTGAGGAGTCGGACTCTGCACTGCAGCACTGCTTCGAATCTACGGATTGGAGTGTGTTTGAGGACAACAACATCAACACAAACACGGACACTGTCATCTGCTACATTGGGAAATGCATCGATGACGTGGTACCGAAGGTTTCTGTACGGACATTCCCAAATCAAAAGTCCTGGATAAACGGCGAGGTGCGCGGCAAGCTGAAAGCGCGCACTATCGCGCACAGAGCTGGAGATTTGGAGGAGTTCAGGAATTCTAGGTATGAACTCCGGAGAGCAATTAGCAGCGCAAAGAGACAGTACAAAGAGAAGGTGGAATCTGACTTCAAAGGCTGTAACACCTGGAACATGTGGGCGGGACTAAGAACAATGACAGACTACAAAGGAGCAGCGGGGGGTGCTGCGGGAGTGTCTGCGTGCGCATCTCTCCCAGATGAGCTGAATAGCTTTTTTGCACGTTTTGAGAGCAGCCAGGCTGTGGAGGTACAGAGGGACCAGGAGCTACCCTGCCCTTTTGTTTTAAACAGGGACACACAGCTCCAACACCATCGTGAAGTTTGCTGACGACACGACCGTCATCGGCCAGATCACAGACGGCGACGAGATGGCGTACAGAGAGGAGGTCGGAAACCCTGACATCTTGGTGCCAGGATAACAACCTCCATCTCAACGTCAGCAAAACCAAGGAGCTGATTGTGGATTACAGGAAGCAGCAGAGAGAGGGACACGCCCCCATCGCCATCAATGGGACTACGGTGGAGAGCGTCAGCAGCTTCAGGTTCCTCTGTGTCCACATCACTGAGGACCTGACATGGACTCATCACTGAGGACCTGACATGGACTCATCACTGAGGACCTGACATGGACTCTTCACTGAGGACCTGACATGGACTCATCACTGAGGACCTGACATGGACTCTTCACTGAGAACCTGACATGGACTCTTCACTGAGGACCTGACATGGACTCTTCACACCACCACCATCACCAAAAGAGCTCGACAGCGGCTCTTCTTCCTCCGCAGGCTGAGGAGGTTCAACATGGACTCCAGGATACTCTGCAACTTCTACAGGTGCACGATAGAGAGCATCCTGACCTTCTACAGGTGCACCATAGAGAGGATCCTGACCTTCTACAGGTGCACCATAGAGAGGATCCTGACCTTCTACAGGTGCACCATAGAGAGCATCCTGACCTTCTACAGGTGCACCATAGAGAGCATCCTGACCTTCTACAGGTGCACCATAGAGAGCATCCTGACCTTCTACAGGTGCACCATAGAGAGCATCCTGACCTCCTACAGGTGCACCATAGAGAGCATCCTGACCTTCTACAGGTGCACCATAGAGAGCATCCTGACCTTCTACAGGTGCACCATAGAGAGCATCCTGACCTTCTACAGGTGCACCATAGAGAGCATCCTGACCTTCTACAGGTGCACCATAGAGAGGATCCTGACCTTTACAGAGGGTGGTGAAACCTGCACAGCACATCACCAGGACGGAGCTGCCATCCATAGAGGATCTTTACTCCCAACGGCTCAGGAAAAAATCCCTCCGGATTATCAAAGACCCCCATCACCCCAGCCACAAACTGTTCAGTCTGCTGCCGTCTGGCAGACATTACCGCAGCATCTGGACAAAAACAAACAGATTCAGAGACAGCTTCATCCCACAGGCAATAAGACTGTTAAACACCTGAACTGCTGGAACAATTTCATAACATTCATCTGCTACTTAGTAATTATTTATCTATTATCTAATATATCATTTCAATAACTTGTATATAGTCTGGTTTTGCACTATTCCACTTTTTTTTTACTCTCACTTTTTTTTTTTTAAACCATTTTTCTTTTTGTATTACTTTTAATATAGTATATTTTAATACTGGTTAATATCGTCTGCTTATCTGTATTATTGTGTTGCATTGTTGGAGAAGCCTGTGACCTAAGATTTTCAACGACATAATTACTCTGTAGCTATGTTAGTTTGACAATAAAGAACCTTGAACCTTGATATTGTTCTATAATCGACTGAAACTGTTAAGTCATGATGTGAAACGGTTAACAAAGAAAAAGGGAAACTCAAGCTGCTGCTACACTTTATTTTTTTTATCTAAAATTAAGCACTTTTAAGATGCACACATTTTCAAAAGCTATTTTATTTTTTATTTTTAAATGCAGCCCGAGAGGAACATTACACATATCCACAGTATTTACTGTATATCTGTATAGTTCAATGTTAATTGACAATAAATATTGTTGTTTTTGAATTGTACTTTGTTTCTTTGATTGGCAGTCAGTTGTTGATTACATGCAGACGTTGATAAAGCTACAGCTACAGCTACTTCAATATATATCACACTAATTCATAAAGCAACTTAGACATTTTGAAGTTCCGGACCTTTGCATGGGGAGATTTTCTCTAACTGGACCTCGTTGAATTTTAGTTGAATACCCCTGATGTAGAGGAAGAGGTTTCAGAATGTGAGGATCTGACAGTGACTTTGAAGAAGAGGATGAGATTGAGCATCAGCTAGTTACAAAAAAAAGACGAGCCACAGGACCAGCGGGCAAAAAAACGAGTAGCACTTTAATTAATTAATATGATCTAACCAATGTAAAAGGGCAAATATTAACCATGCTGTTTATATTGCTTGTAATTGGGATGAAGTAAACATATGTTGAGTATTTTAACATCAAATAGTTTGATTGTGTTGAATTGAAACCCAAAAAGGCAGCGGGTCCACCAGACCCACGAACACTGGCTGAATAACAAAAATATGAACACCACACACGGGTTAATCATTTTAAGATTGGCTTTAATCAATTTTTGCAAATTAATTCTTCATATATGATAAGAGGTAACATTTTATTTATGGTATTATTTTCACATATTTCTCTCCATTCTTCTTTCTGCCAACGGTGTCGCAGTTTTTCATCTCTCCCGTTTTTGTGCGTCAGAGTGCCCGTGGAGGACCGCACATTTTCCCGTCAAGTTTGTTTTTTATAAATCGCAAAGATTGCTTTATAAATGAGGCCCCAGGGCTCTATAAATAAAGAACTACGGCAGATGTGTAATATTTAATGCAGCCGAACCGTTTATTACAATGCATTTATGTGATGACTTTCAAAGAGAAAAGCAAGCACATTAAAGTATGATTTTCTTTTTAACACATTTTTTTGTTCTACTTATCGTTTCAACTACGTCTCTCGAAATGCATTGAGAGTAACACATCCAATCACAGAGCTTCAACGATTCCAGAGGATCATGGGTAGTGTAATGTCTTCGTTCTATCCAAAACTTTTTTTAATTTGATGAGTACTGCAGATATCACTGTAAAATCAACCGACAGTGATGAGATTACTCATTTCCGGGTGTATGAAGCGATAACTATGTCACTAGCAACCACGTTACTATGAAAACGCAGACACCATCTCCGAGAGATGACGATACTTTACATGGACACTGGCCAATCTAAAACTTCTTTAGTAATATACGTAGTACATAAACATTTCCCTGGTGAGACCTGAACAAATCTTCGTATTCTCCACAAAAAGTTGTGTTATAGTGAACCAAAAGTCGTGATAGAGGCTTGCTTGTCAACACCCGGGTATTTCTCCACTGGTTAACAATCCCGTGTAACTGTGACGTTTTGAGGGGGTGAAATCATGTCATCCTGACGTCTCCCAGTGGACCAATGGGACATGTTCACGTCTAGCCGTGATACCAGGTTGGTTTGGTCCTACCCAAGTTATTGTGGATTTAATTTTCTTAATTAAACGTCATCAACATTTCAACTTCATGATGGACTTTCTTCTTGAAAACACGTCAAAGCATAAAGCCAAGTTTAGACTCTTGGTGACTCAATTTAATGGGAATTTAGCCGCCACAGTGAATAAATAATATGTCATATATAACGTGTGATAAAAAGTATTATTTCAGGACTGTTATTCATTAGATATACTCGCTGTAACACGAGAGAAACTTCACATTTTATAAGCCTTTATTTATGGTGCTATGTTGCCAGACATAATCAATTACTGAAAAATATCAAATGTAAAAAAATATATATTTATGGAGAAATGTGCATATGGGGATGTTACTTGTCAGACAGTCAGACTGTAATACTTTCAAAAAGCAAACCGTTTAGTTGGTGTACTAGTTAAACTAACCAGGGCCGCCCCTCCCTACACGCAGGCTGTGTTGGGCCCGGTCTAATGTATGATGACGGAAGGGCCTTTAGGATGACACTCTCTGTTTGTCTAACAGCACCACACGCAGGTTTATCTGTCCATGCAGGGTCAAAGAATCCTTTCATATGAGCAGATATATTCTCTGTTTGCATGTTACTGATGACGCTTATACTTACCAATGAAGGAAGTAAAGGCTCAGTGCTGTAACCCTCCTTTTGTCTGTCCGACAGCTCAAAACTTTCCTGTAACACACACAGAAAATAAATAACACAATCATCCTCAAGTGAAATTTATTATAGTTGAAGCACACTGCTTTGGTGTGACAAGTGAGCTTATGATGGCTAATGTTATTGCTCCATAACACACCTTACCGACTATCTTTTCTAACTTCATGACTCTTCTCCCCTTATGCTGTTGTTCAATTAGGTAAGACTGTGAGCCCTGGATCTCACAATTAAGAATATGACAGTTATTTGATATATGACGGGTCACAAACATCTTTCAGAAGTAAAACTAGTGAGCTGGACTTTTCAAGAAACGTTTTGAATTTACAAATCTCTACAAAGATCTGTAGAAAGTAATTATCAATTAGATAATTGACAGGGGCCCGGTGTTTGCTAACAACAACACTGTTGTTGTTAGCAAACACTTTTCGCCACTGGTGGAGTTTATGGTTCTAAAGTGCCATCCTTTTTACCTGCCGAGGGAGTTTACAGCGATTCTTGTGGCAGCTGTATATCTCCCCCCAAACCCCAGCAAAGAGGGAAGAGAGGAGGCACTCAGTGAACTGTACCGAGCCGTCAGTGAGCAACAGACAGCACACCCAGACGGCCTACTCATCGTAGCTGGAGACTTCAACCACGCTAACTTAAAAACTGTGCTGCCTAAAATATATCAGCATGTTGATTTTCCAACCAGGGGAAAAAACACATTAGACCTGGTCTATACCAACATCAAGGGAGCATACAAGGCATCCCCCCCTCCCCCACATCAGCCTCTCTGACCACCTCACTGTTCTGCTGGAACCGGCCTAGACCCAGGGTAAAAGCCACCAAACCGGTTTCAAAACAGGTTCGGGTGTGGTCAGAGGACATCACAGCTGCACTCAGAGATAGCTTTGGCACTACAGGCTGGGACATGTTCAAGCAGGCAGCCACATGCAACCATCACACCGACATACAAGAATACACAGAGACAGTCACGGGCTACATCAGCAAATGCATTGACGATGTGACACAAAACAGAGCCATCACCATCCGGGCTAACCAGAAGCCATGGCTGACAGGGGAGGTCCACACGCTGCTGAAGGCCCGCAACATCGCCTTCAGAGCTGGAGATCCAGCTGGGCTGAAAGCAGCCAGGGCTGACCTGTCCCGTGGCATCAGGAAAGCAAAACAAGAATACACCCGAGAAATTACAGGACATTTCAAGGATAGCGGGGACTCACGGAGCCTGTGGCAGGGCATAAGGACCCTAGCGGACTACAAACTACCGCTACAGACCTGTGATAGTAATACCTCCCTGCTCAACAACCTCAACGGCTTCTTTGCACGCTTTGAAGTACAGAACAACACACCTGCGCAGAAAACCACCCCCCCCACCGACGACCGGGTTTTGCGTCTTTCACCAACCAGTGTGAGGAGCACACTGCTGAGGATTAACCCCCGCAAGGCTGCAGGACCTGACAACATTCCTGGTCGTGTGTTGAAGGACTGCGCAGAAGAGCTCACAGATGTCCTCACAGACATTTTTAACATCTCCCTGAGCCAGGCTGTTGTTCCCTCGTGCTTCAAGGAAACCACCATCATTCCAGTGCCAAATAAGTCATCTCCATCCGGCTTCAACGACTACCGCCCCGTCGCACTAACTTCCACCATCATGAAGTGCTTCGAAAGGCTGGTCATGAAGCAGATCAAATCCACCCTCCCCCCATCGCTGGACCCGTTTCAGTTTGCCTACCGAGCTAAACGCTCCACAGAGGATGCAATCTCCTCCGCTCTCCACCCAGCCCTCACACACCTGGACACTAACACTAAGGCTAAGGACCCTTATGTCAGAATGCTATTCATAGACTTCAGCTCAGCATTCAACACCATCATCCCCCAGCAGCTTGTACAAAAACTTACAGACCTGGGCCCCAGCCCCTCTCTCTGCAACTGGTTGCTGGACTTCCTCACAGAGAGACCACAAGCTGTACGGGTCAACAATAACACCTCAGACACCCTCATACTGAGCACGGGGGCCCCCCCAAGGATGTGTGCTCAGCCCCCTTCTCTTCACTCTGCTGACCCACGACTGCAAACCCATCTTCAGCACCAACCACATCGTGAAGTTTGCAGACGGAAGCTCAAGCGAGCCGGAGCATCACCCCCCATCATGCTGTCCTTCTACCGAGGCGCCACGAGAGCATCCTCAGCAGCTGTATCAGGCAAGCTGGAAGCTGCACCGCCTCCGACCGCAAGAGCCTGCAGCGCATTGTGAACTCTGCCCAGAGGATCATCGGTGCCTCACTCCCATCACTACAGGACATATACAACACCCGCCTCACCCGCAAAGCACTCAGCATTGCGGGTGACTCCACCCACCCCTCCAACAGCCTCTTCAGCCTCCTGCCTTCAGGAAGAAGGTTCCTCAGCCTCAGCTCGGGCACCACCAGGCTGGGGAACAGCTTCCTCCACCAGGCGGTCAGGATGCTGAACTCTCTCTCCCCTCTCTCCCTCCCTCCCTCTCTCTGACATCTCTCCCCTGAACTCTCCACCCTGCCTCCCACCCTTCTCCCCTGCCCCAAATGGTCCTGGAATTTCGAGATTTCTGGATGTATAACACAATACAGAATTGTTGACAATAAAGCTGACTTTGACTTTATGAGCCTGCTATATAATATATGTATTTTTTTCCCCATATAGCTCCGACGTTATCGGTTTTGTTATCGGTACTGGAGAAATGTATATATAAAACAGCTTTCATATTTATTATTGCTACATAAAAGTTACCTACATTTAATTGAACCAACTCTGGTCCTTGCAATCTCATTATTCTCGCTCTGTGTGCGCGGCAGCTCTCTCTCACAGAGATCTGCGCAGCGTTCAGGAGTTACCCTAACTAAGGCTCCATGTGGACAATGCTCGTTTGCCATTTGTTTTTCTGCGTTAGCGCGGAAACACAAGCAATTATCCGAACAATCTATCCGAACACTTGGCCAAACATCTGGCCAAGAGGCATCATATTCATTTGGAGAAATGCACAGTTTTCCACTTCCATAATTTGTAGCTCTGTGACGCAAATTTGAGTAACGTAATCACGTCAGGTGTGCAGTGGTGGGGGAAGTTAAGTACTCAGATCTAGTACTAATGTAAAAGTAGAAGTACCAGAGTGAAGGAATACTCTGTTAAAAGTAAAATATTGCATCCTACATTCAAAATGTTACTCAATTTAAAGTAGAAAAGTAAAAAGTAAAAGTAGTCATTGTGCAGATTGGTCCATTTCAGAGTAATATATAATTTATGATATGTTTTGTTATGAAGCCTGGTTAAGGTGGAAAGTAACTAAAATTATTAAATAAATGTGGGTCTTAAAGTAGGGCCTACATGATTTATTGAATTCAAGTAGAGTAGAAGTACAAAGTACCTCAAATGTGTACTTAAGTACAGTGTATTTGCATATTGAATTTACTGTCGATAGGTTTGAGCAGCAAAACAAATAAAATCTTTAATTAACCTTTTATCAGTAAAATCTTAAATCATCCTTTGGGTTGGCCACAGCTTGTTTTGGTTTGTTGGGATTCTTTATAAACAGTTTGAATTTAAATATTGATATATACAAGGCGTGTGGCGCACTAGTTGGCGCAGGACCGTCTGCTCAAACTCCAATCTATCACCCAATCATGATACTCGCTGTCCATTGTGAGATTGGACCTAAACCAATCACGACGCGAGTTCACAATGGACGGAGCCAATCACGTCACAGCATCACAATGGACAGAGCCACTCACGGCACGGCTTCTCCCCGAACCCGCCCCCCTCACACTTTTGGTTGACAGTGGACAAGTCGCGAGGCGCATCAGAGGTATTCAGAGTAAGTAACAACACTACATGTTTCTATTTTCCCATTTACAGTCATAAAACCTATTTTTAGAGCTGCAACACCACCTGTGGACCCGAGGGTGGAGCAGGGAAGAGCTACATCTCCACCTGAGGACCGGAGGGTGGAGCAGGGAACAGCTGCATCTCCACCTGAGGGTGGAGCAGGGAACAGCTGCATCTCCACCTGAGGGTGGAGCAGGGAACAGCTGCATCTCCACCTGAGGACCTGAGGGTGGAGCAGGGAACAGCTGCATCTCCACCTGAGGGTGGAGCAGGGAACAGCTGCATCTCCACCTGAGGGCCAGAGGGTGGAGCAGGGAAGCGCTGCAACACCACCTGTGGACCTGAGGGTGGAGCAGGGAAGAGCTACATCTCCACCTGAGGGTCAGAGGGTGGAGCAGGGAACAGCTGCATCTCCACCTGAGGGTGGAGCAGGGAACAGCTGGTCCACAGGTGGTGTTGCAGCTCTTCCCTGCTCCACCCTCTGGCCCTCAGGTGGAGATGCAGCTGTTCCCTGCTCCACCCTCAGGTGGAGATGCAGCTGTTCCCTGCTCCACCCTCAGGTGGAGATGCAGCTGTTCCCTGCTCCACCCTCAGGTCCTCAGGTGGAGATGCAGCTGTTCCCTGCTCCACCCTCAGGTGAAGATGCAGCTGTTCCCTGCTCCACCCTCAGGTGAAGATGCAGCTGTTCCCTGCTCCACCCTCTGGCCCTCAGGTGGAGATGCAGCTGTTCCCTGCTCCACCCTCAGGTCCACAGGTGGTGTTGCAGCTCTTCCCTGCTCCACCCTCTGGCCCTCAGGTGGAAATGCAGCTGTTCCCTGCTCCACCCTCAGGTCCACAGGTGGTGTTGCAGCTCTTCCCTGCTCCACCCTCTGGCCCTCAGGTGGAGATGCAGCTGTTCCCTGCTCCACCCTCAGGTGGAGATGCAGCTCTTCCCTGCTCCACCCTCCGGTCCTCAGGTGGTGTTGCAGCTCTTCCCTGCTCCACCCTCTGGCCCTCAGGTGGAGATGCAGCTGTTCCCTGCTCCACCCTCAGGTCCTCAGGTGGAGATGTAGCTCTTCCCTGCTCCACCCTCAGGTCCACAGGTGGTGTTGCAGCTCTTCCCTGCTCCACCTTTGGGCTCCATGATATTTACGGGCCGTCTCCACGGCAGCGTTAAAAAAATCTTGGAGGTGGGCGTATCTGAAGCTTGGGGATTTTTTTGCGATCAACCAATCACATGAATCTCCCACCCGCGACATACGAAGCCAAAAAGCCCGAAGTAAACTGGATATAAACTCCCCAAAACAGGCGAAAACATACCACTGTCTCTGCCACCTCCCTCCATGCCTGGCTCCTCCGGTTTATATCCCGGTAGGTCTGGTCATAAAGCACCGGGTGATTGATTCGCTACCGCTAATTTCTCCTCCATTTTTTGGAATATGAGGAAATGATCTGCGGGATGTCTCTCCCAGCATACACGCCGTTTGATTGGCTAGAGCTTGAACTGTCAGATTTGCGTACACGGGATTTGATTGGCTGACGCTTCCTCCTCAGCTTCAAAAGTTGAACATTGTTCAACTTTGGATCTTGAAAATCCTGAGAATCTCCGCTCGCCTGCCCACAATGCATTTCGGCGAAAGCGAAAAAAAGTGACGTCACCCCATTCAAAGTGAATGGGCAGAAGCGTTTCAAGATTTTTTAACGCTGCCGTGGAGACGGCCCGTTACACCAGTGAGCTCACAGGTTCCTGTCCTGGTCACTGCTCCACAGGCTCTGAATGCCAGCCTCTCTCTGCTTTTCCTGCTCCTGCTCCATACAGCCACACACTGACCCGCAGAGTACTGCCCAACACGTGTGAAGGTGTGGGAGGTTTGGGACAGCGGACACTGGACACAGCCAGTACAGGGAGTAGTGAACTACATTGTCCCAAAGGAGCAGTGGTTGGAGGACATGTGACGACCCCTGCCTTGTTATCTCTTGTGTGTGTGTGTGTATGTTCCTTTAAGGTTCTCCCTTTGGTCTATCAGCTGGGATTGAGGACACCTGGCGACCGGTACCAGAGGGTTAAAGGGCCTGAGTGAGACCCGCAATCTCTCTCCCCGCAGAGGACCGGACCTCGGAGAGCAGCCACGTTGCCTATTCTTTTTTGCCTTGTTTGTCTTCGGCCACATTGAGTTTTGTTAAATACCTTTTTCTACATATTCTTGTCCTTCCCACGCTTTTTGTTATGGCCAAGAGCCAGGCCATGACAAAATGTATATCCCCCCACCAGAGGCATGGACACTGGACACTTATTTATGTATATAGTTTGGTGTATAGTTTGATATTTATTTATATATATGATATGTATATAATTTTTTATTAAGATTATGATAATGTTTATTTGATGTTAAAACTCATTTAGAGTGTTATTTTGTTATACTGCACCGTACTTACTTTTAAGGGTTGTTTTACATTTTATTAAGTTGAACTACTTTAAAATAAAAAATAAAGGTTTGGTTCTATCAAGTACGTGACTGTCCAATAATTGAGGGGAGTGCTATGTTTAGAATTTCTATAGGTTTTCTCTTTGTTTGTTAAAAGACAGACATTATAACACCAATACCTTCTTAGTTCATATTAAATGTAATGGTTACATTTCATTATTTATCCACAGCACACAAACCATGAGCTTCAATACAGGTCCATATTGGTTACTTCAAAACTATCCCTGATAAAGAAAATAATAATAATTGTATGTAATAAACTTGAAAGAAGTAGATACGTTTTACTTAATATTTATTAGAAATATATAATATTTAATAGAAATGTGTCAATAGTTAAATGCATAACACAAGTGTTATTAGTCAACAAATGCATACTTTGTTGGTCTTTAAAGTACTTCTGTATATAAATACTTTTACATGCTACAGAAGGGAAACAGGGAGCAAGAGAATCGTTTTTTTGGCCTTGGTCTGGGGATCAGATGGTCACAGGTTCAAACCCCACTGCAGTCAGCATGTCGTTGTGTCCCTGAGACACTTCACCCCAAATTGCTCCTGTGGGGATTGCCCACAGTATTGAGTATGTAAGTCGCTTTGGATAAAAGCGTCTAACAAGTGACATGTAATGTAATGTACAGCTGTTAACTTCCTAACTCTTTTTTTTTTTTTCCCTCTCTCTCTGAGGGAGCAGGAACTCTGCAGGAAACTCAAGCAGGGTGTGTACACTGCTCCTGCTGATAAACAGGTTCCATTTCTGACCCACTGCACACGCAGTGTTCATCTGCTTCATTACATTACATTACATTACATGTCATTTGTTAGACGCTTTTATCCAAAGCGACTTACATACATTCAGTAGGCTGCTGTGGACCGTAAATAAAATATGTTTTCTTGGTATTTTAAAGAGATTTCTTTTTGAAAATAAGTGATTCAAATATTCTAGTGTTACTCTTTTTAATTCTTAAACCGGAATGACTGGTCAGTGCTTCTCGGTGAGACAGAGGAATACACGTCCTTTAAATCAGAACTACTGAAGTCCGTGATCTCGGACAGGGACACGCAATGGTCAGCAGTGTAACTGTAACGTTTCAATACAAGTGTAAGCAGCGGTTTCCCGGGCCAGGGCCTACCTCGGCGGTCCTGCAGAACATGTTGTGTCCCGGGTTGAAAGGCAGTATTCCCCCTCACATGTTCAACATCCCTCGGCTCACTGCTCCAACAGGAACTCTGGCTGCTGGCGTTCACTTCCGCATGTCCACGCGTAACTGCTGTTCGTGAGCGCGCACACAGGTAAAGGTGAGCCGAGCCGCTGACGTCATATTTGTCATCAACGGACCCATTTAATGTTGCGTTCAATGTTCCACGGGAAATATAGGAAACATTACTTCTTATATTACTTGCGCTGTGCTGCAGGTGAGATACAATACAATACAGCTTTATTTATAAAGCACTTTAAACCGCCAGACCAAAGTGCTGTACAGGCAAATAAACAAAACAAAAACATACAAAAAACAACACAGCACAGCTCATACACCATAAAACAAGTAGAAGTAAAAACAATAGACAATTTAAAAGCAATAAAAGCAACGCTCTAAAAGATGTTAATACGCTAAGGAGAAGAGGTGGGTTTTAAGAAGTGCTTTAAAAGCAGCAGTGTGGCGGTCTGTCTGATGTGCAGGGGCAGATCGTTCCACAGTGTGGGAGAAGCAACGGTTCCCTCTGAGCTTAGACCTGGTTCTGGGCACATTCAGGAGCAGTTGATCCGCTGACCTGAGAGGGCGGTTGGGCGTGTAGGGGTGTAGCAGCTCAGAAAGATATGGTGGGGTCATGCCATTTAGGGATTTCAAAGTAAACTAGAGAATGCAATTCCTGAAGAAATTGCTAGTGGGAATGCTTTATGCTGAAAATCTGACGCTAAACTGCTATGCTGAAATGTAATGTGTAAGAAGAAAGTGAAGAATTTAGATTGAAATGATACATGAACACTGGGGGCTTGAATGTGTGATGAGAGAAGAAAAGAGAGTAAAAAGGCTTGGAAAAGCAGCAGAATATTTGAACTGCAAACCTTTGAACTAACTTGATGGTGAATGATCTGTCGCCATGCCAACGGCATTTGAAGAAATCTTAAAACTGACTAGATGTCTTCACGGCTGGACTGTTAGCACACATGTGAAGTTTGAGCACCTTTTGAACATTTTCATAGGAGTTATAGCGACATCATGTTTTATGGCGAGGGATGCGTTTCCATGGAAACGGCATATGGTGAGATCTCAGATTTGGCGTAGAGCTGTTGAGGCATGGACCGGTGATATACAAGTGAAGATTGGGGGACGATTGGCCGTGTCGATTGGACTTACAGCGACATCGTGTTTCATGGCAAGTGGTCTGTCGCCATGGCAACGGCATTTGAAGAAAGCTCAAAACTGTCCCGTAGATGTCTTCACGGCTGGACTGTTAGCACACATGTGAAGTTTTAGCACCTTTTGACAATTTTCATAGGAGTTATAGCAATATCGTGTTTTATTGCAAGGGATGCGTTGCCATGGCAACAGCTTTTGAGGAAAACTCACTAATGGTATATAGACATGTTGAGGGCTGGACCATTAACTGTCATCTGAAGTCTGGTGGTGTTTGGATCATTTGCATAGGTATCACGACAACATCGTGTTTTATGGCGAGGGATGCGTTTCCATGGAAACGGCATATGGTGAGATTTCAGATTTGGCGTAGAGCTGTTGGAGGCATGGACCGGTGTGGGAGAGAGAGAGAAGAGAGAGAGAGAGAGGAGAGGAGGAGAGAGAGCGAGAGAGAGAGAGGAGAGTAGAGAGAGAGGAGAAGAGAGAGACAGCAGAGAGAGAGAGAGAAGAGAGATAGAGAGAGAGTATGCAATGAACACTTAGCCACTGCAACTGCTGTCACGTTGTGAGTGGCTGACATCATCGTGTTCGCATTACACCCAGCACGGTGATTTATAGTTGAGCGAGCTAACGAGCTTAATGAAGAGATCAAAGGTTTGCATTGTTCTGAATGACAGATAAACCTCTTACATGTGAACGTTTTGTGGAAGAACGATAACAGATATCTGTGAAATTTCAAAACGTGAAGCATGTCAAGGAAGTTGAGTATCTGAAGTGTAATTTTTGTGTACTTTCGGGTTAATAATGTGGCCTTTTTGGCAGTTTAACTAAAGGTGTGCGGCTGCTGCTGTGAGGAAATATCTGCCTGAAATTACAATGGGCTTTAATGGAGACATGTTGAACGTTTTTGTCACTTCATGCCCTCAAGAGGCATTTTGTTTAATTATTTTTGCTTCATTATTTGTCATTTTTCAAGCTACGAGATGTTTTCCTACGTTTGTCATGAAAAATTATGTCTCAAGAATGTAGGGTTTGGGAATTATGGCAGTTTTAAAAAAATATATGAAGGCACATTTCAAGATTTCTTACCCTCTAGCTGTGACATCACGCACTCTAGTTAATGTTAAAATCTGAAGAAAACCTCTTTAACAAGGTCTGAACAATGTTTAATATCTCTAAAAGTAAGAATCAGATTTAAAAGTTGTGTTACAGGAATAATGTCAGAAAGATGTGTAACATTTTAAAGTTGGAATGAGGTTTCTGAGTGAAAGTATGAATGAACAGTTAGCAGTTGAAGTCGCATGAAGATTTGTTGAAGTCTGAAGAATATCTCCATTGACTTCAATGTTAAAAATGGGATGAATTATGGGATGTATCTCTGGAATTATGAAAGTTATGAATGATAAAAGTAATAGCAGTCGATTGAATATCTCCATTGACTTCAATGTTAAAAATTTGATGAATTATGGGATGTATCTCTGGAATTATGAAAGTTATGAATGATAAAAGTAATAGCAGTCGATTCCCGACCGAGCTGAACGTTTTGATGTTTGAACGGAGTTTCTGCGATGTTGAATGTGGGAGGAGAAGACGGACAAAATAATTGGACGGAATAATAATAAACTTTTCGTCCGTAGCATAACATATAGTTGGAATGCTGTATCAGCATTCCCACTAAATAAAAGGATTTAAAAATGAATCCTATGATGTATTGGCAGCCAATGGAGCGAAGCCAAAATGGGGGAAATGTGGTCATATTTCCGTGTGCCAGTTAAAAGCCTTGCTGCTGCATTTTGCACCAGCTGCAGACGAGCGAGGGAGGACCCACTGACCCCCATGTAGAGAGAGTTGCAGTAATCCAGCCGAGTGGTGACAAAGGTGTGGATTACTGTCTCAAACTGCTGTCTGGAGAGAAAAGGTTTTATTTTGGATAGCTGCCTAGGTGATAAAAGCTCGTTTTTACCACCGATTTAATCTGACTCTCAAGTTTGAGTTCACGGTCCATTTTAATCCCAAGGTCCGTAATGGTGGGCTTGGTGTACTGAGCCAAGGAACCCAGAGGCCTGTACCACGAAGCCGGATTTTCGCTTAGCTGGCTAACTTCAGGGAAAACTCGGGGTTTCCAGTCCTACGACGCTGGTTCTCTTTTTAGCGGGCTAGATCTCCATGGTAATTTATGCTGAGCGGCTAACCTCCTCCGGAGCAGTTTAGGTTGCAGGCTAAGAGATCAACTCAGTGAAAGCACCGCCTGCTGACCAATCAGAGCTCCGTGTGCGGAGTTTAAAGCGATCAAGTCATATTACAGGATAGAGGAAATACAGAAAAACTGCCGTTGCTGGAAAGACGGCCGGCAAAAATCAACTGACTGTGTGAACGTGAAAATTAATAGAATATCCCCTCCCATCTTCAGAGCAATCTGACTATTATAACATTAGCGTTAAGAAAGCTTACTTAAATATCTGCCACAACATAAGTAACCGGATCAGAGTAACATTAAGTACAGTCCACGGCACTGTGAGTGCAGACGTCGATGTGTTCCATTATCATTCATAACATATCACATTTTATTACATGGCTTAGTTGAATACTCGATTCTGATTGGTCAATTCAGAACACGTGACACGTTGTTAATCCAGAACAGACAGACCGCTGTCAAGGATTTATTGACCGTTGTTAAAGACGCTCACATCTGCACAAACAAGTCCGTTCGATTTAACTGTATACAGTTTGGCTTTTCTAACTGACAAGACAAGAGCGACAAGAAAACAGCGGAGAAGTAACGGGCAGAAACCCTCCTTTTTACGCAGCGGTCCAGACATGGACATCAAACGGCAAAACATATTCAGTGTGCAGTTCCTTTGGCATTAGGGCAGGGATATCTAGATACTTTCCAAGGTTTGACATAATGAATTGTGCTACTTTTAAAGCAAGCAACAATGTTTTCAAATCTGTAATCAAAAAGCTCCGCCTTCCTGCCGTTGCTACGTTTTTCAAACGGTAACAACGGACTATTTTCCTTAGCGGATGCATGTCAATTTAAATCAATACATACAACTATTTTTTAAATCAATAAAATCATTTTCTAAATCCATAAAAGCATTTCAATTAATATTGGGAGTCATATCATTACTTTGTTGAGAATGTGGCCATGTAATAAGCGGGATAATGTGCAGCGACGCGGTCATTATGGGGAAAAGAACACCGACAGGCAGATCAGGAGCCCGACGCGAAGCGGAGGGATCTAGATCGGCATGAAAGTGTTCTTTTCCCCATAATGACCAAGTTGCACATAATGCAGGGGTACTCAAATACAAATCTTAAAGGTCCAAAAAAATGTTTTCAATGAGACAAAGGTCCGTTTATTACGGTCATTCAAACTTTTAAACAATTGCAACAAGATTCTTAACACAAGGTTGCAAAAACAAAAATAATCTGTATGCAGCAGTTTTCATTGTTATTGTGTCTGTGCTTGATCCCTCAGAGTCGCAGTGTGAGAGCTGCACGTTATGAATAAAGGCAGCTGCACCCTCTTTCATTCAGCATTCCCATTATTGCTTTATAAATGTCTTGCCCCCTTGTGTGTCCACTGAGGTTCGTCAGGCCCTACACATCTTCAACAAACTCCCCCTTTGCCTCATCATAAAAACTCACAAAGACCAGCAACTGAGCATTGTCAGTGGTGTCAGTGGACTCATCCACAGCTAAGGAAATGCACTGTGCATTTTTTATTCCATCACAAAGCTGATTAATCAAATCACCAGCCAGTATTTATGTTCTTCTGGTTGCTGTGGAATCTGAGAGAGGGATTTGCTTGATTTGACCTGTTATTTCCTCTTTTTGTTTGCCTTCAAACATGGTCTCCATCACTTCAGTCATGCATTCTTTTATACTTCAGTTATTATCCAGTGGAATGT